AGAATCTCAAATTTTAAAAGAAATCCATCGAGCGGTTTGAGTAGACCGAAATGTTTACAAAACCGCTAACAAGAGCGCCTCGATACATACTAATCAAATCTTGCTTTTTAGCAATCGGCTCAAGCTTTCTTTATGATCTTTCACAGACGTTTTTAAAGAGATTTACTATGAGGTGAAATTGCAGTTCAAAAGCGCTTCGCTTATTTGAAAAAAAACCGTATTTCCTTTTGTTTTTATTCCCGTGTTGAAATTTCCCGATTGCCAGTCCGGGGGAAAATTTTCCTGAAAAAGTGGACCACCTTTAGAGGTGGTCCTCTTTAACCGGTCGGTCCCCGACCAAAAATTGCTGTTCCATTTTCAAACATTTTCGTTTGCTGAGAAATACTCAAAATTTCGAAAGAAACGTGAATATCTTTCTCTCCAAAACAGCGTTTTTGAACCAAACGGAATATAATCAATATAAATTAAAGGAATGTGACAGTTTGTTACATGTCTTAAACGTGTAAACTAATCCTTGCTTGCTAGAGGCAAACACCTCTAAAACTGTGTAGCCTGTGAGTAAGTTGTCGACTTGGGGCAGTCCCAGTGGGTCATTGGGTGTTTGCTCTCTAATTTGAGAGCTTTCTTGGAGGATTGCAATTGTAGCTGAAGTTAGTTTCTAGCAAAACAAGTAGAGCTAAACAGGTTTTATCAGGAGCCCATAATGAGGAGTGAGCAACCCCCATAATAGGCCGTTTTTACTCAGCGGTTTATTTTTAGATGCATTGTAGAGCACTTTTTCCGGTGTAAATAAAACGTTCCGCTCCTTTAATGAGGGCATTCGAAGAATAGGATGTCAAAAAGAAGAACTAGGCCTCGAGGTTTCGCTGACTGGTTTGTAGGACAAACATAATATTCTAAGTTCGCGCCAGAATCGATCTGAAGATAAAACTCCGCGACTCGAGTACGTAGAAGTTGCTTGGTCCAGGTTATGGGATGCTGGTTTTCATGTGGTATACGAGATCAACAACCAAAATTGGAACGCCTTTTTTAATTCATTTTTCGCAGAGAACCGTCCACAGCTTTGTTTTCCAAAATCTGACGGAGAGAGAATGGCATCACTTTATCGTAAGTATTGTACGCGAGAAAGCTCTTAAAACTAAACGATGCTCGGTGAAACACTTACCCGACAGATTTTTCTTTCATTAATGTGGCTAGTTTGCTGGTAGTCGCTAAACAAGTGTCCTTCATCAATGTTTTAATCGAAACAGTCCCCTCTCCATGAGCGACCACCGCTTGTAAACGACCAACTTCCATAAGCGACCACCTATACAGAATGTTCATCAAAATTTTCTCACCCAAAGCCCGATAATTAGAACTTCTCGTAATCGAGCACCTCTCATAAGCGAGCGCGATCACTTTTTCTTTGACGGCTTTATAATTTTCCATTGTTTTTAACCTCTTAATTGTAAGCCACCATTTGACGTATGTTGTGGTCTCTCTTTTCGCTATGTACTACGCCACTCACAGTATACGAAGAAGTTTAACTTTCACTAACAAACTAACTACACGTATGTAGAACTCAGAAACTGCATGAAATGAATTCTCTGCCAAAGGTAAATGTGCTGGGACCTCCTCTCGGAAGAGACTCCCTGTGTGGCGATTCTTGTAAGCGATCACTTCCCGTAAGCGACCAGTAAACCTCCGCATTTTGGGTGGTCGGTTGCAGGGGGTTCGACTGTAGTCGACCCTGTTATTTCCATCCTACCATGACTGGAGAAAGTTCCCGTAGCATGATTCCACCGGCCGGTAGCTATGAATGTCTCCCCCGGGATAAAAGCAATGGTCGGGGAGGGGGGCTTCTAAGAAAATGCACCTTTTACAAGGACAGAGCACCGAATTATCTCATCACTTTCTCGTCTTTTTGCAGATTTACGCTTACGATAAAAGTGGTTGTCTCCTGTTACCCATAGAAGGGGAACGTTTTCGAGGTAAATTGTACAAAATCTCCGAAACTTGGGTCCCGTTTAAATGGAGAAAACTTGTTCTCCGCGAGAAGTAGGGTCACCCTCCTAACCGAGCGAACTTTAAAGAGCGTTTGTATGAGAAAAAACGTTTACCCCGTTGCCCGAGCCAACAGCGCTCGCGCATGCTCTGATTGTCTCGCCTTCACCGAGTTGACCCAGCGCTGGGCGAGCCAAAGTGTTTATATCGAGAAAAGTTGGCCCTACTAGGAATGCGACTGTACCATCACAAAATATTAACCCGGGTCACTCTTCCAGCCGAGCCAATCTTTAGTTTCTTATGCATGTAAACGGTTCGTCGTGTTTTTTTAAGGAAATGTATGAAAAGGTAGCTCGCTCAGGGTAGCTCGGGTAGGCGGGTGTCCCTTCCACTCTGGATAACTTTTATCCATATAAGCGGGTCTTAAGTAATCATTATCCAACCTCAACGCTCGAGGAGACGCGAGAATGTTGTTTGTAAATACTCTTAAATCGATCTGTCGTATTTTGTCCTTTAT